CGAGCCCCGTGTCGGGCTCTGTGCTGACAGCTCAGAGCCTGGAGCCTGCTTCAGATTCTGTGTCTCTCTCTCTGCCCCTCCCCTGCTCACGCTCTGACTCACTCTGTCTCTCAAAAATAAAAGTTAAAGAAAGTTTTCATAAAAAAGAGAAATAATAGTTAGGATGTGGTCATGCTGGATCAGGATGGGTCTGTCCAGACACACACAGGGAAGATGGCCACGAGATGACAGAAGTAGAGATCGGGGCAAAGCATCTATGGGCCAAGGAGCGCTGGTGGCCTCTGAGGCCAGGACGGAGGCCCGGCGCAGATTTTCCTGCAGAGCCCCCAAAAGGCAGCAACCCTGCCCGCTCCTTGCTCTTGGACTTCTGGACTCCAGAACTGGGAGGCAGTAAATTCCTGCTGTCGTAAGCCCCCTGCTTTGTGATTCTTTAGAGAAGACCCAGGAGACTGACTCCTACAGGTGCGGGAGCGGAGGAGGAGGCCAGGTGGACGCCATCGCAGCCCCCGGCGAGGGCCTTGAGTGGGGTGGGCGCTAGCCAATGGGGTCTGCTGATGGGCACAGATATGGACCCGCGGGGCAGGTGGTTGGACAGCCGGGCCGGGCTCATGGGAGGAGTCTGTCCTGTTAGCCTGCAGGGGGACAGCAGGCCTGCAGACCAGCCCCAGGTATGTATATGCAGAAAGCCGGGGGTTTGGGCCACAGTCCCTGCAGAGAAGGGAAGGAGCATTGGTGTGGTGCCCGCACAGGAGCCCAGGGTGGGGGTACAGAGGACAGGAGTGTTATTCGCTATGGAGGGTTCGGGATGCAGAGGACCGAGGCCAACCCTGGGCTTGAGTGGCTTGAGGTTGCAGGGGACCTGGTGTGGACAGTTGGATGAGGGAGGAAGGGCCTCAGGGCGTATGAACGGCTCTTGAGTTTTGTCACTGGCCAGGTCTTCTGGAAACACATCAGTCCGTCTCAGCGCTCCTTCTGGCAGCCTCAGCCTGTGGGTGGAGCGTGTATTTTGACGCTGTCTTTAGGTCTCCCCTCCGTTGGCGGCAAGTCTCAGAGGCTGAGAGATTCCCACTTGGCTCCGTCCTCGCAGCCTGCTCGCCAGCCTCATGAAACTCGAGGCAGCTCCATGCTACCGTCCATGGGGATGAGGAGGGGCTTGGGGGTGTGGGGTCCCAGGAGACTTGCCTTGTTGGGGTTGGGAAGCTTCTGGAGGTGAGAGGCCAGATGAGTGGTGGCACTGGGGGCAGGAGAGAAGCCCTTAGGTGATGTCTCAGTGCCTGCAGGCTGCCCTGCGGCTCAGGGGCGCTGGGGGTGGGCAGCTGGCAAGAAAGCATCACTAATGGGAAGTGGCTTTTTTTCACACAGCAGTTGGCTGAGGACAAGGCGTCAGTGAAAGCCCAGGTGACGTCCTTGCTGGGGGAGCTCCAAGAGAGCCAGAGTCGCTTGGAGGCCGCCATCAAAGAGCGACAGGCTTTGGAGGGCAGGTGAGTGGGAAGGGAGAGCCCGCCAGGGGCTGCTGTCGCGGTGCCTGAGAAGAGTGAGGCACCTTCGGGGCCTCTGGGGGGGTTCCTCTGGGAGAGAATCGACTGGAAAATGTGGAGTGTGAGCACACAGGGGCTTGGAGAATCTGGAGCCCAGCGGTGCTTCGGGGCTCCCTGACCTTTTGCTGGAGCTTGGATCATTTCCTTAGGGAGCATTTTGGGGGGACCCTAGGAGCACACCCGTGATCCACAGTTATCCTCTAGAAGTACTCCGTGCTCTCACAACTGAGGTTATTACAGGGAGAGGGCACACAGCAGGACCCGTGAGGACAGAAGACACAGGTCGGGGTGAAGGACTCCACGCCTTGGGCTCCCTCCCCGCCTTCCGTGGGGGGCCAGCTGAGTGCTCTCCCTTCTCCAGCAGTGACAGATACATCCCTGGAGACCAAGGGAACCCACTCAAGACTCAGTAGCAGGGGTCTTATTGGACGCTGGTCACCTGGGCCCCCTCTGCCGGGCACACAGCAAACTCCCTGCCCCCTAGCAAAGCAGGTGCTATGAATAAACCAGCCAGTCGTGCGAACGGTCCAGGCGCAGGGACCACCCTTGTCAGTAGGCAAAGTGTCATGTCGTTTCAGGGACCCGCACCAGCCCATTGCCCGGGTGCCACCAGAGGGCTGACTTGGCAAGTGGCTCTGCTAATGTGAGTAGCCTGCCGGTTGCTCTTTTCTGCAGAGGGCTTCCTATAGTGGGGTCATTGGGTCAGGGGGCACAGGTGTCCCCCCCCCCCCCCCCCCCCCCCCCCCCCCCCCCCC